ACTCCTATTGGCATTTGAAATGAGATGTCTACGGGCTATCCTGAAGGTCTCAAGGAGAGACCATATAAGAAATGAGGAAATACGAGCTATGCTTAAAGTGGAGAGCACAATTATTGACAACATCCGGAAAAGAAGACTGAAGTGGTTCGGCCATGTACAGAGGAGACCCCCAGACTCATTTGTATACCGGGCCTACCATCAGGATTTTGATAACCCTAGACCAAGAGGAAGACCCCCCAAAAGATGGCGGGACCAAATAGTGACTGACACTGGATGGCCCCTTAAGGTCGCAGAACAAAAGGCTAAGGACCGTGCTGCCTGGAGGGAGAAAGTGAAGAGGTGCAAGGGGCCAGTTCTGGCCTAGGCATTTAGGCAGGTAGGCAGGCCTTAAGTTAATACTTTTTTAGCTGCCTAGCTACGGCTCGAATGGTACAGTCCAACTTGTTGTACAGTGTCCGGTCACGCAGATGAAAAATAATGGCAAGGTGCCCAAACACGAAATTCAATGTTTTGATCATTGATAGTGTCGCCAATTTACATTTTTATCATGACGGATGAAAGGAAAGTACTCACTGGACAGAGCTACAAGTAAATAGTAAAAAAGGTAAAAAGTGTCATGTGAAAACCATTTGCTCTTACAAACTTGAAAAATGACCTCAATTCTGTGGTGTAGAAGATAATCGATACTTTTTCCCTACCCGGCTCACTTTGTCATTGAATAAAAAGTTATGTCTGACTTTTTGTTTGAAATCCACTCAAAAACACAGGAAATGCCATTTCAGAAGGTTCAATTTTCAAAATTTTCCGGGGAAGCATGCCCCCGGACCCCCTAGGGGCTCGCTGGTCCCTCAAACATTGGGAAGAACCCCCTCCCATTCAAAATCCTGGCTACGGGTGTCAAAAAGAAGTTTTATGGCGGCAACTGACAGCTTCAAGCATTTTCCAAAGTTCTCAGTACTTGCTGCATGGGGTCATGTACATGTAGTTATACCAAGGCTACGACCCATATTCAAGATATACCAACAATATAATATTTTTTCACAACCTGCCGCCCCTATATATGTCGTTTTTGAAAGGCTTTGAAAACGTCTAGAAAGCAATCTCAATTGCACCTCTTTTTAACCACGAAACTTACTGGTAACAAGTCCAGGGAAAACTATTCAGAATTCAAAAGTGGTCTTTCTAACGAGATCGAGATCGTACACTGCTTACACTGCTTACGCACGATAATACTACAAAATTTCTTTCCATGTGGCCTAGGGATTAGATAAGAATAAGAAAACGGTATAACTTACTTCATCTTGAAGTTACGCAGGTGGACGAACAGTGCACGCGTTTGGGTAGTAGAATGGTGCTGGAACTTTCTCCCTGTTGATAGTTCAGAAGTGCGCCAAAAATGAGTTGTAGCGACGCGCGCGCTTCAGTCTTATGTGGACGCTCTCCATAATTGGCCAATTAAAAAAAGGGGGCGTTTTGTAGATAAGCCTACGTGCGTCGTGCTGAGTGAGACGTCACTCTATTGAAGTTCAGGCAGGTAAAGAGTAATTTATGATTAATGTTAATTAGTTCTTTGTCATCTTGGAAGACAAGAAGATTATGATTAATGGTTCTCTTTGGCCTCACGTGTCATCCTAATCAGCTACAACACATGTACTTTTTATCATGGCGGAGTGGGAACATGGTGCTCAACGAATCAGAAGTAAGACTAGGATGACTAGACTCCACCAGGCCTCCAAGAGGGTTAGGGTGGTAGAAATCGGTATAGATAGGGTCTGAGTGGCCAGGAGAGTGGGTTTCATTTGTCCCTCTGAACCGCGCGGGTAAATGAACTCTACTTTTTCCAAACTCCCCTGGCTAATCATTCTTTCTATTGTACTAAATTATATCGTTTATGAACTAGCGTTGTTAGTCTGGTAGATATGTACTCTAACAGTGCTACTGAAGATAATCACTACTGCTGTTTTCCGGAGTCAGAGTGCAGCCAATTTTCAATGATCTACACTTTGAAAACAATATTAGGAAGAATTATTGAGAATGTGCAAAAGTCAGTCTTTCAAGGACATTTTAAAAATTATGTCCCAAGAAAATCATACATAGCCCCGAAGATACGTTTTTCAACTGTTTCAACTGTTCTGCTGTAGTGTTTTAAAAAGTTCGAGGTCACAGAGAGAGCGAGAAAGAGTCAACCTCTTCAAGGCTGCCACCTTCTCTATGACCTCTTATGACGTTCTTGATAATTGATCAATTTCAAAAAAGGGGCGTGTTTTGGAGACAAGTCGGTGTGCGTCGTGTCCAGTGAAATCTCGGTCTATTGAAGTTCAGTCAGGTAGAGAGTAAATCTTGTTTTTCTATCATCTTGGAAGACAAGAAGATTATGATAAATGATTTTCATTGGCCTCACGCGGCAACCTTATCAGCTACCACACAGATCTAATTTTTTATCATGGCGGAGTGGGAAAAGTCAGTCTTTCAAGGACATTAAAAAAAATCCCAAGAGAATCGAAGATACGTTTTTTTAACTGTACTACTGTAGTGTTATAAGAAGTTAGAATTTCTAGGCCACAGAGACCTAGAAAGAGTCAACTTTTTCAAGGTCGCCATCTTCTCGGTCTCTATGACCTCTTATGACGTTCTTGATAATTGACCAATTTTAAAAAGGGGTCATGTTTTGTAGATAGGTCAGTATGCTTCGTGCCGAGTGAAACCTCACTCTATTGAAGTCCAGTCAGGTAGAGAGTAATTGTAATTAATGTAGCAAAAGGTGTTGCTTGTTTCTTTGGTATCTTGGAAGACAAGAAGATTATGATGAATGGTCTCCATTGGCCTCACGTGGCATCCTAACCAACTACCACACAGATCTACTAGTACTTTATTCATCATGCCGGAGTGGGAAGCATCGGTCTTTCAAGGACATTTTAGACATCATTTCCCAAGAGAATCATAGATAGACCGAAAAATGCGTTTTAACTGTACTACTGTAAGTTCGAGGCCACGGAGACACAAAAAGTGTCTCGGTGACAACCACTTGTTTACTAACCAAACTAAACACGTGACTCCGCGTGCTATTTTAAGCTGGCAAAGTACAGCCTAGCCAGGTAACAACGTAGGTTCATCATTCTCCCATGGCTACACATGGACTACAGTAGTGTTATAGAGAATGTTTAGAATACGTTTTTCAACTGTTTAACTGTACCACTGTAGTGTTATAAGAAGTTCGAGGCCACAGAGATCGAAAAAGAGTCAACCTCTCCAAGGTCACCATCTTCTCGGTCTCTATGACCTCTTTTGACGTTCTTGATAATTGACCAATTTTAAAAGGGGGCATGTTTGGTAGAAAAGTCAGTGTGCTTCGTGCCGAGTGAAACCTCACTCTATTGAAGTTCAGGCAAGTAGACAGTAATCGTAATTAATGTAGCAACAGGTGTTGCTTGTTTCTTTGTTATCTTGGAAGACAAGAAAATTATGATGAATGGTCTCCACTGGCATCACGTGGCATCCTAACCAACTACCACACAGATCTACTTTATTCATCATGGCGGAGTGGGAAAAATTAGTCTTTCAAGGACATTCTAAAAATCATTTCCCAAGAGAATCATAGATAGACCCAAAGATGCGTTTTAACTGTACTACTGTAAGTTCGAGGCCACAGAGACACAAAAAGTGTCTCGGTGACAACAACTTGTTTACAAACCAAACTTGACACGTGACTCCGAGTGCTATTTTAAGCTGGCAAAGTACAGCCTAGCCAGGTAACAACGTAGGTTCATCATTCTCCCATGGCTACACATGGACTACAGTAGTGTTATAGAGAATGTACAAAGATAAGTTTTTCAACTGTTTAACTGTACTACTGCAGTGTTCTAAGAAGTTCGAGTCAACAGAGATCGCGAAAGAGTCAACATCTCCAAGGTCACCATCTTCTCAGTCTCTATGACCTCTTATGACGTTTTTGATAATTGACCAATTTAAAATGGGGGCATGTTTGGTAGATAGGTCAGTGTGCTTCGTGCCGAGTGAAATCTCAGTCTATTGAAGTTCAGTCAGGTAGTGCGTAATGATAATTAATTGAAGAGACTGAGATTTCAATCGGCACGGCACACACTGGGCAATTATCCTGAAAATTGTCACAAGGCCACAAAGACAAAGAAAATTGTGGCCTTGACGGGGTCGCCTATTTTTTTTTATCTCTGCTCTGAGACCTTCGCCTGATTAGAACACCACAGTAATTACAGTCAAAACAGTTTAAAAAGTTATGTTCAGGTCTATCTGTGATTCTCCTGGGGCAGAATGCGATGTCTTTGAAAGGTTGACTCTTACACATTCTTACAAGGGGGTTTCTGTATTACATGTATAGATGATGGAAAACGCGAAACGTACCGTGTGAGGGCCAGGCTGCACTTTTCTTGTTTGGGTCAAGTGTCAAGTTGGGTTTGTAAAAGCAAGTGGTTGTCATTAGATAATTTTTCAACACTGTTAGCATACATGTAGCTCTGTCCATCGGGTCTTCCTTCAGAGATTTGTTGAACACACTGTTTCTTCGCTCTTCTTCATGATAAAAAGTACAGCCGTGTTCTACTAGTATAGTTGACAGATAAGGTTGCCCTGTGATGCCGATTTGAAACATTCATCATAATCTTCTTGTCTTCAGTTAATTATCATTACGCTCTACCTGACTAAACTTCAATAGAGAGAGGTTTCACTCGGCATGACGCACACCAACTTTCTACCAAACATGTCCCCTTTTTTCAAATTGGTCAATTATCAAAAACGTCAAATGAGGTCATAGAGACCGAGAAGATGGTGACCTTGGAGAGGTTGACTCTTTCTCGGTCTCTGTGGCCTCGAACTTCTTACAACACTACAGTAGTACAGAATTATATAACACAGTTTTCAGACTTATGGGAGTAACTATGGTAGAACTACTAGTATATACATGAAACACAGTTTTCTGGTGTGGCGGGATTATGGGAGTTGGCGTGATAGCTAACACAGACACGTACCTTGTACGAACATGTTGTGATTTGTCTGATTGCCGTACGCGTGGGTATATCTAGAGTCGAGATCTTACATCGTGAATCAAATGTTATCAATGTTACCTGTTCAACCAATAGCAGCTAGCACCGCGCAGAAAAAAACAACAAACAGCAAAAGCTGGTACGTGAGAGAGTTTGAAAATGCCCAACTCTTCAACTTGACTGGATCTGTTTGGCGTCATTGCACACGCATTGGATGGCTGTTGGCTGAATTGGATGTCGCAATTGGCTACTCGGTGCCATAGTAAGGCTTTAATATGAATGTGCTGCATAACTCGAATGTCATAAGTTAATGGTCTACATTCAGCAGAGAAGGAAAAGCACAGTCTCTACGCACCCGGAGCTCGAGAGAGAGAGGTAAGCCATTTTCTTACTTCACGCCTATGAAGGGAAGTATTGTGTTGGACTTCAAGTAACAGTGTGTGTATGTGTGTGTGTGTGTGTGTGTGTGCTTGTGTTTTGCGATTCTCAATAACTACAACAGAGCATTGTCAGTCATTCTTTAAGCGTTGCTACTCCCGGAGCCAGCCATGACTACAAAAATCAATTTAAAGGCGGGACACGTACTCGTTGAGGGATAAGCTGTACGTTGTCGGCGGGTTGGATCGCGAACGAGCCCTCGACGGTTGTTGACAGGGAGCCCCTCTTCTAAGGTTACTGTAGCGCTACTACTTTTTGTCTGTGAACTTGAAAGGACGCAAAGCCAAAGGGTGTCGACATGAAAATATAGGGATGGAGCGCAAAACGTCTGGCTCAGTTTAGGTATGTCTATTGTAGTTTTAGCGTCTAAGGGTCGAAACCAACGTAGTACACCTATTAAAGGCTACAGAAGACTAAAGCAAGTCATTTCATGTTGCAGGCGGAATTCGAGACGTGTCGACGGACGAAGAGAATAGACAATTGTTTTTACACCCGCACCGAACAAGAAAGGCGAAAAGGCTGTGTCTCTATGCTGGTTGCATTTCACCAGACGTTAGCCTAAATATCCCGTTTTTTGCTGTGATACCTCCAGAAAACAAGAAGCAAAATCACTTCTGAATGCCACCCACGCATCAAGTCAAAATGTTTGCTGCAGTTTCTATCATGTTGCTTTTACAAAACTTGGCACAAGTAAGCTCACTTGGCTCTTGCTGGACGGACGGTCTCTGTGCACGGCATAATCCAACCTTAAAAACCGTACCGGACAATCTAACATTTAGCACGCTGTCTAGCCTGATTCTCAAATTCAACGACATAGAACAGGTGACGTCAGTACCAGAAATGCCGAAGTTGACATATCTGGACTTGTCTTATAATCGCTTGAAAGTATTTCCGTGGTCCACACTCCACAATACGCCACAGATCACCAACCTAGACCTGCACCACAACCAAATATCACGAGTTGATGCCTACGTCGACTTCCCTCGCTCTTTAGTGCAACTTTCTCTTCAATACAATCGCATCGCCACCGTTCCAGAGACTTTCCCGAGCGGAGCGAACCCGCCGGAAAGCATCTTCTACCTCGGGATCTGGCAGAACCCGTTCCGTTGCGATTGCGGGGCGGAGTGGATCGCCCGTTCGCGGCGATGCGTGACGGAACACCGCCGAGACGGGTGCGCGAACACCACGCCGAAGAAAGTGAAGGCCTGCATGTTGGCGAACTGCGATTTTCCTCATCCAACTGGCACAGTGGTGGTCCTGGACGTCCCAGAAAATCACGCCACCTTCATCACTCGCCTGAGATATCCGTACGTCCTGAGGTGTAACTCGCCATCTGAGATGAAAGGGAAGTTCTTGAGGGACTTAAACCTGATGACTTGTGCCCCTCCCAGCACTTCTGCAAAGCCACTACAAACCACAGAGCCTCACGCACCTAGGACAACCCGGACACAGCAAGTCGAAACGGGAGAACCAGAAGAGGAAAATAATGAACTGCAAGTCACTATCAGCGGACAGATGACCACTGTTACCAACTGGAAGGCACCACTGACGGAATTTTGGAAAGGTGGGGTTCTTGTTTTATTCCTAGTGGCGTAGAAGGCTTTACCTGGTTGGAAACATAAGTGTAATATAGAATCGCTGGCATTAGATGTCTGAGGATTCTGAATCTCCTGGTTGTAAATCCCACCATATATTTTGTTATTGGTACTGTTAACTGGCGATTAATATTAACTGTACATGTGTAAATGGAGCGCCCTAGTCTCTTTCTTTGTCACAGACTATCCTATCCAGAACTGCGCCTACACGTATCTAGTATATATGCCTGAATGGGTTAAGGTTAGGTTTGGGCACGGTTCTGGGTAGTCTCCGCGAATCCAGGAAGTAGATTTTGCCTCAGGCACGGTTCTGGATACAATCCAGAACTGTAACTGAGCATGGTTCTGGATAAAGCACGCTTCTGGATACAGCAAGGTCTGAACTCGACACTCGCTTTCCTCTTTCCCGCAGCGTTCACCGCCATCTTATTCGGTGCGCTTCTCGCCGTCCTGGTTGTGATCAACTTCACCCTGCGCCGCAGATCGAGCGCTCTCGTGCATCGCTTGCGTCACCGGCAGACTGCAGCGGGTCTTCACAGCACGGCAGGGGAACCAAGACGCCAGAGGCGCAGAAGAGACGGCGAGCAGGAAACAGGTTTCTAGAAATGGCCGAAACTTAAAGATGCCAAAGTGCACTATGGTGGCATGAAATCCAGCCTTGTTAGCTATACATGTAGCTATAGGCCGGCTCCTGAAAATTCGCTCCCAGCAAATTTTTGGGAGAGGACCTATTGTATCTGTATCTGTATAGCCGGTATAACCGCCTTTCGGCGTAACACACCAGCTTCGAACAAGGATGATAGTACGCAAACTACAAGCAGCTTTTTAGTGGCCACAAGACAGTATCAAATTGGGCAGGCAGTATGCAGTATCCATTCCCCAGACAATACCCATTTACCACCGAAGGATACTGTCTGGCTAATGGATACTGCCTGGCCAATTTGATATTATCTTGCGACCACCGAAAAATCTGCTTGGAAATTAGATACTATGGCAATCCCTTAGAAAGTTACGATATCGCCTCCAATTGTCTGTTCGAGATTCAATTGTATATCAATAATATCATGTTTCTAGTTTTACCACCAAAATCACAGTGAGTACACGACTACAAACGCGCTGCACGTTCTAGTGTCCGCCCACTCAAGTGCGCATACCAGAGTAGCACCTCAGACTAATAAAAACAATTCCTGGTAAAACGGAACACATTCATGATTATGGAGGATTCTAGGAACTGTAACCTACCTAAAACAAATGTTACGCCACACCCCCATTCCCCAAATCAGATGAAAAAGTTGAACGTAATATGAAGGAGGTTTTAACTATAATTTTCAATACAAGAAATTGGACTTACCCAAATTTGTGACTGTGCAACTCCAGTCTTGATCAAAGAACGGGCAATCCATCAATTTGGGGACGTCAAGCTATATGTAAATAACACAGGTGACTCGGCCAGCAGTGGATCACACATAAATGTAAATTGCGGAAAGACATGACAGCTCAAAGTTGCTTAAAATATTCATAATGACTTCTACCAACACAGATGAACTTTCAACACAAAATCAAGCTGAAGTACATGTAGAGAGTACAAACGAGAACACCATTGTAAGGGAATACCACTACAAGTGACTTTAATTCAAAGATAGGGCCCGATAATTTGTCCTTGCACAGTTCTCAACAATGGCTAATTTTATACAACAGGTAAAACAGCATAAAACACCACATGACGTCGGCCGTCCTTCCTCTAGGCACCCATCTTATCTTTCATGAACATCTACGTTAACTGCTAGAAGAGGAAGATACAATTGTACAGCAGAAAAAAGCCTGATTGCACAACGCAGTCACAATCTCTGCACCAGTTCTGTGATACTTGAATGAAAGGGATTTTTCCAAGTTTCTTGCCTTCTCCCCAAGTGACCTCAGATGAACTGTACAGACTGACAGCCTGTATGTATGAATGTTATACGGCCTCCCCACACCCATATACAAACTGTGATGTAGTAGAAAAATTCATGAACAGGCTTTCGCAATCAGTCTGAGATCACCCAAGAAGGAAAGAAACGAGACAGAACGAACCTAAAAACATTAAGTAAGACTACGCCCCTCCCACCTTGTCTTTAGTTGTACTATTGGCTTGAAATAGAGCCCACATACATAATGCAGATATACAGCAATGAAAGCCCTTGCCAATGTACACAGCTAACACCATTTCTTTGCTATAATGTATATTACAGGTAATACAACAGAAATTTTCAACAATTCTTAAACTTAAATTAGAATTATTACAGTACATATTATTCAAACATCCTTTAACAGTGGATACAACTCAAAAATGTATTTTTTATCCAGGCTAAAAGCACTTACATTGTACTGTCAATTCATTCCATATCAACAGCTTTCAATATAACCAGTCAATAATACAATTTCTTGCTTATCACATTCTATGCTGCTAATAAATTTACATAAACAAGAGCTATATTTTCAAGGATGACTTGCCTTGTGCCTCTGTTGTGTACCTTTAACAATCACTGTCTTAAAAAAGCCACTGTGGCAACGTGTATACAATTTCTTCAAGGCACCCTTGAAACAAAAAAAACAACTTTCCTGCAACTAAAAACGAACAATTCTGCCTCTAGAGACAACCCCATTTATTCATGTTGCTATGCAACAAGGGAAGTTGCCTAGCAACCATGGATGTTGCTAGGCTACCATGGATGTTGCTTGGCAACCATGGCTGTTGCTAGGCAACCATGGGTGAGAAGAATAACTTTGGCACCAGGGTGTTTCTTTTCCTATGCTGAAACATTTCTTCACCGCTAGTCTACATTCTGTGCCCGCTAAAAAAATTCAACATTCAAGAATTGTCCTTATTGTATTGTACATAAATAACTATCATTGCACATTCTATGTATATTGTTCATTCTTGCACATAATTTCGTCTTCTCTTTTTTTGTGTATGTCTGTACAGTGTGGCCTTCCTGGCACTTACATGTAACAATCTCTGCTCAAATCAACAAATGACTCCACTCCATTGGTGTTGCCAAAAATCTACAGCCCACTAAACTTCATCAATTCTTACTTTACACGTTCTGGAAATTCCTGGTTGTAACTCAACTCCAATTGTAACAAATAAGATGTACAAGTTACTGAACAGTGTAGAAGTAGAGTTTTGGTGCTGTGAACCGGAGGTTATGGGTTCAATTCCCAGCCTAGTGCTTCTTCCTATTCCTCTCTCTTTTCCCCCCATCTCTCTTATCTTATTCACACTACTTTGGAGAATCCTTGAAATTAAAACAACTGAGATCAGGAAAAAGTTGAAAGTCCTCCAGAGAGGAGGATACTACAAGGAACACTTCTAAAATCAGCTGTTATGCCTGGTTTACACTTTTAAGTGTGAACAACATTCACATTCCATATTTCACTGTTGTGTCCTGCTGAATCTTTCCTTACTTTACAACACATTTTTACCAGTGACTGCTACAAAGATATGCCACATTTCATCCATCTACATTCTACAGTAATACAGAAGAGGTTTACATCTAAAGAAACAATTACTGACAGAATTTCAGTCTTATCAAGAACACAGATCCCACTAATATCGTAGACAACCCTAGAAATCTGTACAGGAGATAGAAAGTCACTGTAACACACTTTTTTATTCTCGCTTTCTTTCTTACTTTTCAGCGGACACTACAGTAGTAATCCTGAGTAGACAGTGACAGAAATTTGAAGTAGGGACAAAAATCCTATTTCTTGAGATGAGGACTCAATGAGATGATGATGGTGAGCACGTCAGCAGAACGTACTGTACCTGCGCGAATCCTGTAGTGTGTTGTGCATAGCACTTTGGCAGAATGTCTCATATAAGGTCGTATTCGTGTATATAAGGTTAACATCCCGTCTGTAGTTTCCAAAGGTTATGTCGGAAAAGATTTTGTCTACAACAGGCAAAAATTCTGACCCAACGTTGACCGAAAATCCAACGAAAACCGTGAAAAATTGGTGTTTCGCGCAGGCACAGTACGTTCTGCCGACATGCTGATGATGATAGTGTACAATCATGTAGTAGTGAAGCAGCGCCCCCTAGTGTCTCATCTGGGTCGTGCATATCTCGGCCGGCTGCCCAGTCCAGTGGGTCCCTGGGCTGGAGAGTTGAAGGGTGAGTTCTGAGCGCTAAACGACGAGGGGTTGAAGAACATGGGGGGTGCGGCCACCGCCTGGGGGGGTGGTGCTACCCCCTGGTCTCCTACAGGGGGGCCTGCACTGTCTTGAGGCTGCTGGGGGGGTGTAAAAAGAATATTAGTAGTGAAGAATACTTGAAATGAATAGTGTATGCTTTGGCTATAGATTATACATAGGCATATTCAATAATTGCAAGCATCCGTGAATAGTTCCATCAGGCTGGTAAGTCACTGAGTAAACAGACTCTTTTTACACCAGCAAGTCTTTTATTCAGCCGATGTTTCGGTGACCCTCTGTCAGATTCCTATCAGAATTGCCCTGAGGAAGGTGACAGACGGTCACCGAAACGTCAGCTGAATAAAGACTTGGTTGTGTAAAAAGAGTCTTTACTCATATTGTAAGCGATTGTTGTACTCAATGTAACACTGGTTAGTAGCAAATAGCAGTTACTAGTATGTTGGCTCAGAGAAGTGAAAGAATAGGACGGAATGAAAGTACAAGAAGAAAATATGTATTTCCATGTTTTTCTATGTTACATGTTGTGCTGTGATAATACGCCCCACACATTTCTCAAGATAGATTCATGTAATGCTGCGAATCTTCAAAATGTACAGAATTTTCCAGTTTTTCACATTGACTTTTTTCACCAATAAACTCATTACATTTATGATGACTGCTTGATGTTTCCATTGTGTTGTGACTACTATTTCTACCTCGAATTCGTGATTTTATCAGTGGCACAAAATTTAGATGTTGTGAACCAGCAGAATATGAGGTACAGCAGTTCCCAACCCAAATTTCAGGACACACAGCAGACTACAAAATAGTCCTATAGAGTAAAGGAAGACAGAATGGAGGAAAGCTGTACAGGGAGCTCAAAATATCTTTTCTTTACTACAAACAAGCTACTGGGAAAAAGGACTGTAGGGCCACACCTTGGTTCACAGATTTTTACCTTTTGCAGCAGCTGTTTGGCTGCCAATTCTGTGTTGGTTACAAGGTTAGGCAGCAGGGAGAAGGCTAATATGTTGTTTGTACTAAAACAATCAATGCAGTAGCTGTTGCATGTACATTGTATATTCAAGTTTGCCTCCTAGCCCTCTGTTTCTATCTGCAATTTGTCGTCTAAATTTTCACTTTAAAAAGTCTGAGAACCAAGGTGAGGCCTCTTGAGTGAACTAGGAAGGGTGTGGGAGTGTGTACCAAGTCTACATTGGAATCCTGAAAAGCTTTTTTTTTACAAGAGACTGCACCAAAAATAGGAAAACAACAGAAATTTGCATCAGTGTTCACACACACCACACAGTGCTCATTCCTAGTTCACTCCTACAGTACAAGTAAAATGGTTAGTCAAGATACACTTCCTACTATGACTGTGTAATTGATTCCAAGCTCAAGTGACAGACAAATGGTGCAGAAACTATGATGCAAGTTTAAACTGTCCTTTCCAACACAAGGAATTGGCCATACAACTCCAATCTTTGTCAAGGAATGAACAATCTACCGCTTCTGTGACATTACATTATGTTATGTCAATGGTGGTAGACTGCTCATTCCTTGACAAAGACTGGAGTTGTACAGTCAAGCATTTTGGTAAGTACAATTCCTTGTGATAGAGTAAAGAGACTCTTGTTACACAATCAAGTCTTTTATTCAGTCGACGTTTCAGTGTTCGTCTGTCACCATCAGCTACACCTGTGCTGCTGTGCAATGTGAACCAGTCAGAATTGCCCTGAGGAAGCCTCAGCTGAATAAAAGACTTTGTTGTGTAAAAAGAGTCTCTTTACTCAGTGTCTTACCAACCTGATGAAACTATTCACGGATCCTTCTTGTGTTAGAAATTATAGTTCAAACTTGCTTCATAATATCTTCTACCAACAACACAGAAATAAACTTTCAAGATAAGGTGCAGGAATTAGTGTTCTTTTTTTCTAATGACGACAGACACCACAAAAGCCAAAGCACAACTCAGATACCTGTGCTTTTAGGAGGTGGCTGACCTCGTATGACATAGAACTCATAGAGCTTGACCGAGACAGCTATGTGTGGGAAAACAACAGAACAACACACCCATTACTTATGATATATCAACTTCACTGGCTGGTCAACGCAACGCAAAAATAGGGAGGGGGATTATTGGGTGCAGGTACTAGGTAGCGGCAATTCTGGAGGCCAGTTTTCAAGTAGTTTATGTTTTTGTTGTCAAATGGCAAGTTTTAAAAAAGCCATGATTTTTTTTCTATGTAAAAAGAAACCTTACATGTGTATTTCTCTCTTTCTCAATTGTTCTACACAATAATTTTGAACATTAAACCTGGTGGATACTTAAATGTAATAAGCTATCTTCTTTGTATCTTCTAAGTTATATCACTCTTCAGCTTTTGATTATTTCCAATATTTGGCTTCCTAGCTAAAATGGATGAAAATAACATTTCTTGAAGATAAACTACTTGAAGACAAGACTCCATGAACTGATGTTGCAATATTAAAAACTATATATCATTTCTTGAGGAAAAAACTTGAAGAGGTAGTAGCAAAGAGAGAAATTTAACTGAAATTCTGCTGTTTACATAGAGGAGAGGACAGAATGTTTCAGAATCTGCAAAGTGCTTTGGGTTTGTGTGATGTCTGTATTCATACATACAAAACAGAGAAGATAACAATGTAGCCTCCATAGCATGCCAAAAACTGGGGGTTTTGGGGGTCTTCATGGTCTTTTGGGAGCTTTTATGTGCTATTTTCTGATTGCATATAGACAAGTTAGCCGGCCTGGTTGAATTACCCCCGTTTTTTAGAACTGGGCTAATCAGAAAACAGCCGATGACCACCAAACCCCCAGTTCTATAAGCCTGCTACGGAGGCTACAAACAGTGCTCAAAATAAAGGATTCAAGACCTATATGGAAAAAAAAACACATACAACAAGTTTGGGACAGACTTGAAACAGATGCACATTCTGTCTGCTCTGTTCTTTTACACAATATGTACAAACAAACAAACAAACACAAAGTTACCTGCGCCTGTGAGTTTGGGGTACTTGTGGGAGGGACCTGGGCAGCTGATGTCATTGGCTCATTGGGGTTATAGAACTGAAGTGGAGGAAAAAGCATGTTTGAAACATGGTTCAGTAAAAAGCATTGATTATAGAATAGTTAGTGGTTAGTGGTATTAGTAGGAGTTTTTTTTTTTCTTACCTTCATTAACTCTTTATCTGTTTAACTCATCAAACCCCCATCTTGAAAGGTGACCAAATGTTTGTCGACAACTTTGCAATTGGCTACATTGATATAATCTTGTTATTGAAATGAAAGCTTGGATCTAATTAGGAACTATTTCAGGCTACTAAATGTTAAATGTTAAGTTGTTAATGATGACTAGAGCTGCTCTTCCTAAAGGGTAGCTACATGGGGAAGGCCTAAAACCTAAAGTAGGCGAGCATATCGGCAGAACGTACAGCACCTGTGCAAAACCTGTAATGCATTGTGCATAGCACTTCTTCAAAACATCTCATGGTTGTAATCTCTTATTTAAGGATGGCATTCCGTCTATAAGTTTTCAAATGTTGTGTCCAGAAAGATATCATCTGCAACAGGCAAAATTCTGATGCAACATTGACCAAACATCCAAGGAAAACCGTGAAAAATCTGGGCTTCGCGCAGGCGCAGTAAGTTCTGCCAACGTGCTAACTACTGTATGTGTGTCTACTACTGGCCACACGAGCCAGACACTCGCTGCACTGCCGGGGAAAGGAGGGACTCTGCTTCTGCGCTCTACGAGACATGGTAAAACTTTCTCTCAACTGACGGGCGATCCCCTTTCAGTGATGGTCTCCAGAGAACGATACACGGCACCTTGCCCCGGCACAAATGTGGGTGTGGTTGTTGCGGTCGGTACGATATTGTGATTTGCCCGTAACGGCCTCCTCACCATGGGTGGTTGTTGCTGCACCTGGGTCGGTGCGTGGGGTCCCTGGGGGTCGCCCTGGGTCATCGTCCCCTGCAGCTGCGAGCCCTGCGGTTCGTTGGCATCTGACGTGGGGACTGCAAGGAAAGGAAACAATGCAGAAGTGCCCCCTTGTGAAAGCTATTGGTGCTGCAGGCTACCATTAGACAACTACATGTACTTGATTTAGGACAATTTTGTAATTGTGTGTCAATGCCTATTCTTTGAAATTGAGATTTTCTTTGGCATCTGAGGTGGGGACTGCAAAGGGAGGAAATAGGTTCAAACAGTGCCTCCTAGTGGAAACTGTTGGTACTGCAGGTTACCATTGGATAACTTTAAAACAGACATGTTTTTTGGTATTTGATGTGGATTTTGCAAGGACAGTGTGGGAGTGCCCCCTGGTGAAACCTGTTGGTGCTGCAGGCTAGCATCAATTTCTTCATTCATAATAACTTATTATTGTGTGTCAATGCCCATTCTCTAAAACCAACATTTTTTTTAAATCTGATGCAAAGGAGAGGAAATAGGCTGAAACAGTGCAAGAGTGCCCCCTGGTGAAGCCTGTTGGTACTGCAAGCAAACAGTCCAAGGCCTTGCCAAATTGTAAGTTGTTCATATCTTTTCTCAAATCTCCCAAAATGATTTCCTGCAAACCACATTTGAGTACATTGATAGGATGTCTTGCATAAATGTGTAGCCTGAGGTGAATAAAAGTTGCATCTCACCAGCAGCTGGTACAAACATGTTAGGCATGGTGTTCCTACAATATTTCATTCATAATGCAAACCAACTGCAGCCAAGTACTTTCAATTGATAGTATGTAATTCATGAACTGGTGTAGCCTTAAGTTGAGTGTATAAAACTTGAGTCTTACCGGCAGCTGGTACAAACAGGTTGGGCATGGCGTTCCCAGTAGGCACCAGTCCAGGGAACAGGTCAGGAGGGGGGGCAGCCGGCTTGGTCGTCCCACTCTGGTTCAGAACATCCACATACTTCCCTGTGGGGCCTGGGGGATGAACACATCATGAAATAAGTTGTGTTTTAAGTCTCTCGAATGTCCTATAGTGTATAAGGCAGCCCCTACATGTATCTGTTTCTATCTACGACATCTTTATTGGTTTTCCAACCACAAACATACATATGCAGGGAAAGACAAAAGTCTCCCTGAAGTGGGTAGTTTGTTACAATATAATCAAAACACATAATACAATACAATCAATGAACAATAATCAGCTTAAAGATAACAAAATTGGATGCAGATACAGCATGGGGTAGCTTATGAAACAGACTCATTGTACAGTACAGTATGCCTCTTGAATCATGCAGTTGTAAACATAATTCAGCAAAGAGCCTCTAGTGATACTGGCAGTGTCATAGGTACATGGTGAACAATGGTCGTTCAATTCTTTTTTTTTTGCCGGGTTTTCACACATGAAACAAGTGATAGTGCTACACTTACCTGCTCTCCTGGAGAACCTGTTGGGAGTATTGCCAGGTGGAGGGGCCGGCCCACCTGTAGGAGAGGGAGACAGTTCTGTGTCAGAATTGCTCAGGAGACATTCTTATCATGTTGCACTTGAGGCTACAGGGAGCACACATACTTAGTAAACAGTCTTTAGGCATACATGAATCACACCAGTTTTGTACAGTAGGCAGAATGGATTGTAAGGCTTGATCTATTGCAACAGACCTGTACTACACATATGTACATTTGTACTGTAGCTTAGACCTACCAGCAGGAGATGGCATGGGGTCCTTAGGAGGGGGTGGTGGGGGTGCTGCATCCTGGAAGAGAAAAAAAGGTTTATATTTCATTTGTTTGTTGATTAATGTCTCCAATGGTAGACACCAAGATTCATTGTAAGAGATGTCATACAAATACTGCATTCTAAGACCTTGATAAATCAAATGAGGTCTGGAGAGAAATAACAAAAAAGACAAACTTATCAAAACAATATTTACCTCTTCTTCCCCTTCATCCTGGTTCACCCACTTGTTCCTCGCAGCGTCCCAAACAATCTGCAAAGAAAAGTTTAAGCTTTGAACACATTTTTACAAAGAATACAAAAATAGCAGACTTAGGCTGTAAGATACATGAATGTCATGTTTTCCTGGAAGTTGGTAGAAATTTAAATCATTTACTGTACAGGTAGATTCTCATTTATTGATAGATTCACCAACTTGTCTTGTTTATTCTCATTTTTCTTTTACCCATTTTGTAATCAAATTATGTAATACGTATCTCGTCATTGTTTTTTACTCTCTTTTTAAGTTTTTAGGTGTCACATAAGCAACTGTGCTTCTTGTCTAATACTCAATAAATATATGTGAATATAAATGAAAACAAAAAAACTAAAAACTCACAGATTTGTTGGTGTCATCTGGAAGGTGGATCTCGTTTTTGCCCCTCATCATTTTGGTGAAGAGACCTCCAAGCCAGGACGTGCCCCCTGACCTCTGTGGGGTCAACATGTCAACAAAGGTTAGAGTTGAAAGGTTAAGAAACAACTGTTGATATGGCAGAAACTGCTGGGTGCAAGAGACCAACAATTAGTTTTACAACATGAGTGAGGACTTCTTAATGATTAAGTATCAAAAATTACTTTAATCTGACACTGCTATGCCAGCATATAGAAAAAAATACCTGGCTCTATACATGTATGAATGCAGTTACAGTAAAGTTTTAGTGTCAGAAACACCCAGAACCTTTGTCCTGTGTCCATGTTAGTGCTGTAAAATATGTATGTAAGAGAATCTATACGGTGCTTGCAGTATACACAAGCAGACCCTAAACTATGACAGGGTGGAGTGCCAATGTGTGTTAGACCCAGTGTTTTGATAGGAGTGACCAAAAAAAAAATATATGAAAGAATAGGAGAGACCAGCTTACAATGTACCCTCACCATATCTATTTACTAACTACATGTTCGACTGTATATTGTCCTTGGTAGGATCTCATATTATCTGTCTGCCTTCCCTCAAAGTATACACCAACTCAAAAGTAAAAGATGCACCAAGATAAGGGAGTTGTGCCTTAACCAAACCAAAAAACACCAAACTAAGTGTCATGTTGTGCTTGTAGAACTTGTATGTGCTGTTTGTTGTGTTTAAGGTTCTACCTGGGCGGAGGTTTTTTGTCCCTGGTGACTTTGCGAGCTGATATTTGAGTCCTTTGGTTTGGCACTAGCCTGCCTAGAGTTGGGGACCTGTGGGGAGGGAACATGCAGCAAAGAGAGAGAGAGACATTGGGGGTGAGAAGGAGTGGACAGGTCCACATGATGAAAAGTTCACAACACACAGTATTGAAAGAGGCAAAGTACAACAACTGCGGGTGTACGTACATGTAGTGGGATGTCTTACAACATACAGTAGTAGGGCTCAAAATACTTTTTCTGCATAGCTGCACTGGTGCAGATAACATTGAGTGGTGCTGGTAAAATTTCAGCAGAAAAAGTATTTCGATGGATTTACTGCAAACCCATTACAATTCTTCCTGGTCTTATCATGTCTGGTGAACAGATGAAACAATAAAGTGTAACAGTCATGAAGGAAGAACACAACATCAGAATGGAAACAACAAGAGTTGCGCAGGGTAACACAAACAGGCTGCTTAAAGTCTGGTAAAAATGGTGTACAAAGAAAGCTAGCAGTATATGATGGTATCCCCAACTTTGCCCTAAAACAAATGAACATAGTTGAGGAATAACAGCAACTAATGCTAGCCCCCAAAAAAAGGCTACCGGGAACATCCTCTGAAGTATCTACAAAAACTGGCAACTGTTAGAAGAACAGCCAACTTCATTGTCCACTGATGCTAGCCCAAAAAGGGCTAACATCCTTAAAAAAAACTTGCAACTGTTGGGAAACAGCCAACTTCCTTGTCTACCTCTGACTCTTCAACTTTCTTCCTGTCTGAATTTTCTTTCTTCTGCACTGCTGTTTCCTCCTGTCCCTCTACAACTCTGAGATCACTTTGGGCAGTTTTCTGACTTTGTGAATCTGACACTGAAGGAACTGTGGCCTGGTTTTGTCCCTCTGTGGCTTCCTCTTGAACTTTCCTCTCTACTTCATCCCTTCCTGTATCTGTCTCCTTGTCTAAATCTTTCAAAAGTCTTGGAGAAAAACTTTCCTCTCCTTCCTGCTCTTGGATCACTTCTAACTGGAACAGTTTCCTTCTAACGCTGGCCTCTTGTTTCTCAAAGCCACCGCCCCTTGTATCTAGTCTGCTGCAGACACCCTGAAACCTGTCCTGTTGACCACTGCCTTCTGGCACGGCCAGTTCTAGCCTGGCCGAGTCCTTGCTCTGATGACTCGGCTGTGTGAACTGTTCGGGAGTTTCCTGGTACGGGCTCACACTCACACGCTTGGTCTTCCTTAAACCTGATGACTAGATTAAGTTTATGATGGCATGGGAGGGGTTAGGGGAATTTTTCTGATGCTAGGTGCATGAAATCATGGAGCAGTCATCTTTCTTCACTATACTTCACCCAAGTATCTTACTATCTTCTACTGTATATGTACGTCTCCAGGCGCTTTTTTCCTTTTTCTCCTTTCTACGACTATGTTATATCATAAACTCCAACTCTTGCTGAAACTAACCATGTCAACACTGGACCTTCTCAAAAAACAGTACCAAAAGAATCATCCCTCTTCCCCCATAAAATGGTGCTGCATGATCCCATTAAAAGTAAATGAAAGAGAAGCGCTTGAAAATACAAAAGTTAGGGACCTGGTTTGAGAGTTTTTGGTGACCATTGTTTCTCACATACCTTTTCCTGTTTCTTTTGGGCAGGTTCTTCCTTAATGTCCACCTGAAACAAAGAAACAAATTTGTTTCTTCAGTTCAAACATATATTCATTGACACAAATATTCTTCCAACACACGCACAACAATTCAGAGAGTTCCAGCAAGTTCGGTTACTGGTGAGTCTTTTAACATCTTTCATGAAGTTTGGCTCTCCTCAAACACTTGATCTCCAGATTCTCAACTGCATAGAGACCCTTCTCACCTGTGAGGACTCTGAGGTTGTTCTCTGTCTGCGCCTGATCCTCTGAGACCCGTGGGAGAGCTGAGAGGACCCGCTCATGGACCGCGCCCGTGTCGTGGAGGCATGGGAGCTCCCGCTCAGCGCCCGCAGTCGACTTTGGGAACCCTGCGAGTCCGGCGTCCCCCGGTGCTGCTGCTGGACCAGTCGCTGGGAAACATTTTTAATTAAAATCAGTATTTGTCAAGGTTAGACATCTTGGTAATAAGATACGCCAAAAAGCCATCGTATGCCATCAATAGATATAAATGCTATAAAGATATAACTTCAACAAGCTATTGAGCAATTCGATAGATTCTGATATATATGAATAGTGCATGGCTATCAATTATGCTTTGGACTAAATTAGAAAAATAACCTGGTCCAGTTGATTGAATGACAAACTTTAAAAACACAATCAAGACATCAGGAAAACTGAAAGAAAATGAAGATGAAGTTCTAAAACTTTTCTTAAGCAGTTTTAGAAATGACTGATTTCATGCATGTAAAGTAACAGATTGTGTACAAGACTGAACAAAAACATCCAGGAACACAATTCAGTCTACATTCAACAAAAAGGGGGTTACAAAAAAAGAAAAGAAGGATGATGTGTTACGTACACACCAAGCAACAGAACAGAAAACACATATTATAGAGTAGCCAGCAATAACTGTGAGGGGATGTGAACATTTTTTCAGGTTGAAAAATCTACATCAACATACATTGTATTATATTGTTTTAGCATCATACATTTTGTGCAAGTGTGTCCATTTTCATCACCCCCATCCCACAGTACTGCCTGGCCATTAGCAGCATTGGCCATGCATGAGAACAGGGGTGCCAAAGAATTCATACGAATTTTACAGAATCCATACAAATTTTATGAAATATATAATGATCTATTACTCAGAAGCATACAATCTTTACTACTTTGGTGATCCAGGCGCAGGTCACCAAATTAGATTGTTTGTTTCCGAGTAATGGATCATATGTATTCCGTAAAATTTGTATGAATTCTTTGACAACCCTGGAGAAAGCAGACTAGTGAGATTACAGCGCTAGTGTCTGAGTCCTCCTCTGTAGCGTCAGCAGGACCCTCTCCTGGGCTCTCATCAGGGCTACTGGCCAGAGACTTGAAGCTCTGGTGCAGGAGAAATGTGAGGGAGAGAGAGAGACACTTGTGTGTGAGGGCTGAACACTGAAGGGAACACTGTGCTAGTACAACGTCATAGGACTACTGGTAAAGGAACACAGGTAAAGAAGGAACACACATGCAGGACTTTTGCTAACTTCTACATTTTTCAAGTCCAGTCAAGAAACCCACTGCATTCCCTCAACACAAGGTTTCCACTCTAAGTAGTTTTCCAGTTGGCTATGTTTCACATGACATCAGTCCATATACGAGAAACTGAACATTGTCAACTACATGTAGCAAGACACAGAGAAGAAATCACTTAACAATACTAACATTCATATGTACATGTACATGAATGTTGAGGACAAAAACAGAACTCACTAACTACATTTCAAACGAACTGTTACCATTAAGTGTTATAAAGGACTGTTTGTTGCCACAGACAACCACAACCTTGTTTGAGTGTTTTAAAGTATTCTCTATATTTCTATACTGTCATAGGTATAGATATAGGCCACCATCCCAAGACAAATAAACCTACCACTTGTCCAGCCATCTGGTCATAGTAATCCGGCACATCGTTTTCTGTCTCGGTTCCCCCGTCAGTAGTGGCAGACGTGGTGCTGTACTCACTGTTCATGGACGCCATCAGGTTCATGTCAGCAGGGACGGGCTTGGACCACGGCTGGTAACTGGCATTGGGGTCTAAGAAAAAGAAAAAAACTTAAGCATGAAAGCTCTTCTACATGTATGTGATTGAGGAAAAACTTCCATTGTATCAAATGGACCACGGCTGGTAACTGTTGTTGGCATCTGGGGAATGGGATAGAAGGTTACCGGTAGCACAAAAACCAATCTGTGTAGAGGAAAAGACTAATGTTAGAGTTGTTACATGTATGAAGACTTTGTTGTGAGGGGTTGTACCACAGCTGTTGTTGGGATCTGTGGAGAGGGATGGAAACTTATCTGAGTAGGGAAAAACTTGCAGTGACGGTTCCCCCGTCAGTGGTGGCAGACGTGGTGCTGTACTCACTGTTCAGGGATGCCATCAGGTTCATGTCAGCTGGGACAGGCTTGGACCACGGCTGGTAGCTGGAGTTGGGGTCTGGGGAGAAGGATAGAAAGTTAACACAACAAATACATGAATGGATCAGATATTGGAAGGGCTGGCTGTTAGCTTTTGGGGTCTGAGGAATGGTAAAAACATTAGAAAGTTGTCTGTGATGGAAAGAATCTTTCATTGTATCACAATAAATGCTGTTTGCCATTCTTGTGCAAGATATTTTTTTTTCTAACCACCAGGGTGCAGGCTTTTTATTTCCATTTGCCCTCATCTCTATCTATCCAACCTTTCCTTTTGCCAGTTGAAAAAAGAGGTCAAAGCCAAGTGATCAACATGCATGTATGACTGCCTGTAATATCTAAAAGCACATAATATATAAGTTGTAAATCCATAAATACCCATTTGTTGTTGTTGTTGTTGGTACTGTTGGTAAGGACTGTCTGTGCCTCCCTGCTGTTGGTAAGCTGCAGGGTCGATGCCACTGGCATTGTAACCTGGGAGAAACACATGTAAGACCCAATCATTTGGGGATATCTGACATAACATACATTCATACTTCATAGTTACAGCAAAAACTTGTTAGCGGTTTCAAATTGACAGCCTTTCCAAACTTACTGTACCCAGAATTTCAAGACCAGTGAACACCTCTTTATAAGGACCACCTGGCCAATGTGACCACTTTTTGATGGCCCCTTAGATAATTTTTCCATTGACACTCACATAGATCATATTTTATCAGTCCCAAGTGGTCTTCTTGCTAACTGTACAGGCGTTAATATATGAGTTGGCAAGAGACTATAAAAGGGTCTTGAAATTGATGTAATGTAATTTTAATTCTGAAAGTGACAGCCAGTCACCAAAACTACTGGTTGCTGAATAAATAACTTTCCTATACAGGTGTACATATAGTTTGACCCAACACACTCTCACCTTCATACTGTTCCTGCTGTTTGGAGTCGTACTGAGGCGTCCCCACCCCGGTGAAGGTGGTTTCCCCAGGGGTGGGGGTGCTCGTGCCGTCGATGCTGGGCTCCGTGGAACCAACAAACATCGGGGTGTCACTGGCCGACGACGGCAACAGGGCTCCCTCCTGTGATGGGATATCAGTGATTGGGACATTAAACAATAGAAACGGATGCTATCTCACATCCTTCATTTACTGTAATGAATGTTCCTTTGTAGTTTGTTGATTAGGTTCTATACTGTAGCCACAAAACTTGAAGGGCTTTACCAGGACTTACTTGTTTTCATATCATATGCTGTTGTGGTGTGCTGTTTTATTAAGTAGAATTTGTTTTTCAATAACTAAAAACTGTGCCAATTTTTGTTTCACTCAGACTATACATGTAGTTTCTTCATGTATCATTAGTGTAGTAAGTTGTGATTTTATAGCTAAAATTCAATCATCCTTAAATGAATAAAAACCATGGTCAGTTTTGTTTCTCTCGTGCTAGTTTCTTTTCTGTGATCAAAAGTCTCACCAGAACTTGCTGGTTCATGTATCTGATGCTGTATTTAGTTCTAGTTATTACAGTTATTCTTTATTCTCACCAGAACTTGCTGGTTCATGTATCTGATGCTGTATTTAGTTCTAGTTATTACAGTTATTCTTTATTCTCACCAGAACTTGCTGGTTCATGTATCTGATACTGTTGATCCAGTCATAGTCCTGATCCTCCTCAGCGCTCAGACTGGAGAAGTGAGGGTCGTGCCAGAACAGCCGCTCTGACAGCTGGTGTAGCTGGGAGATCAGAGTACTGCTGAAGGATGTAGGGGCTCTCTCCACCGCCGAGACTATACACTCACAGTACGTCAGGGCCTGTGGTGGGAGGGGGCATGGTTAGTACACTGTACATGTATGTAAGAACTGTGTGTAGCTGGGAGATCAGGGTACTGCTGAAGGATGTAGGGGCTCTCTCAACCGCTGACACTATGCACTCACAGTATGTCAGGGCCTGTAGATATAAAGAAACACTCTCCTTTCTATAGATGCAAACGCTACTACATGTACATTGTACATACTTGAAAATGCAAAGAAATGTGGATATCAGGACAGATGCACATGATTGCCTTAGTTTCTAATGTTACCTAAGCTGTTGCATGAAAGAGTTTTCAAAGAGAGAAGCTAACATACCTGTGCTGTCATGCCACACTCCGCCAACCTTGTCGCATACAGAAACTTGTACTCCTGAAAAAAGATCAAATACAGTCAACACCAACTGTCACAAAAAAAAAACTGACAAAATGAAGATAACAATAAGATTCATACAGCACAAAAAAGTACATTTTGTGCATACACATTTGTTTCACTATTGGAGAATCGTGAACAGCAAAAAAAAAAACAAGAGGACTTTGTCTCCCATACCTGGAAGCTGGGTAGTATGTAGTGTGCAGCGTTGCCCAGAGTCATGGCGTACTCGTACACTTCTGTCATCTGGATAGCCTCATTAGAAGCAAACTCCATAAAGGGCAGGCTACAGACAAACAGTAAAGAAACAAACTAACTTTAAGTAAGAAGCAGTGATTGTCCAAGAGTATAAACTAGATCTTTCGTACCAAGGTTAACTGTTATGATATACATTGTACATAATCATTGAGAAACTTCATTGAGAATGGTGTTATTATCTGTTAGGATACATGTATAGATAATCACGGACAAACCTAGACTTCTAAAAATAATGTTTGAACTCCAAGTTGAGTTTCCAGTGCTTAGATACAATGTATGCAGTGCAAAGTGTGACAACAGGTTGGTTGACATACATGTAATATCATCACTGCCTGTTAACTGTACATTGTAAGCCTGCAAAGAGCAGCTAAGCTACAATGTACATCCATTCACTAAATGTTTGATACAGATGTCTTTTCTATTGACAGAACAACAAGGCCAACACATACATAGATATAAACAACACGGGTAGACAAAACTACAGGTACATGTACAGTGTACAGGACAGGTGTGTTACCTGTGACTGGACCCCAGTAGGACCATCTTGCTGGCCTTCTTGCTGTAGTGTCCGAAGTTGACCTGAGCCATCAGGTAACAGAAGTGGGCAGCGTGGAGAAGGCCTCTGGAACCTAGGCAGGGAACAAGGAAGGACCAAGAAGATTTAGACTGATGATGTCTTACACCTTTTACTGTTTCCAGGCTTCTGCTTTGTCTTGTCTTGTATTGGGATCTCTGTTTCTACATTGTAGTATCCAGGAGCTGAATACTAGTGATAAATACGTATCAATTTCTTCTGAACAAAATTACACGACCAGCAGACACATTTGAAGTCCAGTTGCCTCCCATTTAAAAACCAACCACCAAAGCAACCAGTTCCAGTTACTAGTTACTTTTCCCCAGTTCCAGGACATTTGATAGAAGCCATTTTGTCAGTTTCTTTAGTTTTAAATTTGTGTGGAGTTTTTAAAGGTTTTGTGTCTCTCCAAATAAAACCAAGATATGTCGGTGAAGGTTAGACATCCAGGTAATAAGATACACCAAAAAACAGTTACACAAGCAACTGGATATGATTATCCAAAACCTTTTACAGTTTCTTGAGAAACTGTTTTTTTTTTGCATAAAACCAAGATGCGTTACCAAAGTCACAACCATATGTACCTAGTGTATCTCCTAGGGTGATGATGCTTTTCCTGTCCACCTCTGGTCGCTGGGTGTGGTTAGATAACACCATCGCTAGGTGTGGTCTCCAGTCGCCCCACCTCTCGTCCGCACAGCTCTGCAGTTCACAACAAAATCACAAGGGGGCATTGTTAAACATGTCGCTGGGATTGGTCAGGTTCATTGGATGTTTGGTCAATATTGCATCAGAATTTTTCCTGTTCCAGACAATATCTTTTCCAAATCCTTAAATTCACAAACATGACCTAAACAAGACATGTCGGTAAAGGTTAGACATCCAGGTAATAAGATACGCCAAAAAAACAGTTACTCAGGCAACTGGATATGATTTCCAAAAACAAGTTTCCAAAATCATATCCAGTTGCTTGAGTAACTGTTTTTTGGCTTAAACAAGACATTCTGCCAAAGTGCTATGCACAGTACATTACACTTGCAATGTACTTGTGTTGTGTGACAGGCTGAATAAAAGTTCTAAACAGGAATTATGCAGCTCCAGATGTCTTACTGAGAGATGACTGCGTGTGTGAGATGTCGATTAGCTTGAGGAATGAATCCCCTTTACCATACATAGTACATTACACGCTTTGCAAAAGCCCAGTACTTTCTGTTGATGTTTTGGTCTATGGTTAATAAAACTGCTGAGACTCACGGTGACAGCTGCAGGCTGGCGGTGAGACATGAGCTGGTACAGGGTCTGCAGAGGGTCGTTCATCGGCAGACTGTTCGCAAACCTACAGGAAACAAACACATCGATGGTCTTACTTCAGAATCATTCATTCTGACAGGAGAGAAAACTGACAAACATACAGATCCACTAAAACATTTTTCAGTAATCTGCATGACAAAGCAACAAATAATGAGAATCTTATCTTATCTCATCTATCCTTTAGTCTAAATTACTCAACTAGATTATCTAACAACCAGTTTTCTCAAAGCTTGTCGGTTTTCTATTTCTTTTAACATTTGACTAAGTGTCATACTGGTACATTCCCTGATCCACTTTCCAATTGCCTACCCTTCTGTCTTCCTCCCTGGACCGTTGCTTGCATTATGGTTTGTTACATACCACAAATCAGGAATAGAACATTTAAAATTTACGTCCTAGCAAGCCAGACCTTGTCATAACGTTGGCGTGAGCTCTGGAGTCCATCTTGCTGGCCAGCAGCAGGGCGTGGCCCCACAGACCCCCCTTCATCGCCCACTCCAGGGCATCCTGTAGTAAACACAGAAACAGTTAACACAGAAACCCCTTCATGGCCCACTCTAGGGCATCCTGAGGGGAAAAAATACCAACATTCAGGGACATTACAGTGCCATAAGTAGACTTTGTTGTAAATAGAGACTGTTCTTTGTCAAGTTTTCCTTTTCATTTCAATCAGCTAGTGAAAACTGAAGGAACTGCACCTTAGCCAACCTTACTAAGGTGAGCTCCGGTCTCTGATGATAGATAGAGAGGGATGGCGAGTGCTTTCAGGATTGGTTCAAGCAGGAGCTTGACCAAAGTAAGTGCATGCTTCTCCCTCACACCTTTTTTCCTCCCAAACAGCAGTGAAGTAGCTATGAGCTTGTGTTGACTAGAGTAAAATTCTCACCTTTTTCCTCCCAAACAGCAGGAGTTCTCTGAACTTCTGTGTGAGCCTCTCGATGTCTGCGGCCTCGGTGCCCCCCACCGTCCCGTCACTGGTGGTGGAAGCCTGGGACAGGTCACCCTGACTCCCCCGGTCCTCTCCCTCAGCCTCTGTACGCTGGGGGTACGCCATGGACGGGTGGCCTTGCAGGAGCAGCTCTGCGATGTCTGTACCTACAATCGTCTGGAGAGAAGGGAAAACAACAGTTTTCTGAATGTCTACAGCCACAATTGTCTTGAGTAATTAATTTTCTGAGTACCTGATGATGTCCACAAGTTTCCATCATCTTCTGGACAAGGAAGAAACAACAATTTGCTAAATGTCTGTACCCACGATCATCTAGGGAAAGGGAAAACAATGATCATTATGAGTCTTCTAACTGTGACACTGGGGGTACGCCATGGACGGGTGGCCCTGTAGGAGCAGCTCTGCGATGTCCGTACCTACGATAGTCTGGGGAAAGGGAAAACCATGACAATCATGAAAAACAGCAATCATGACAAACTCTTTTAACTGTGACACTTGTAAGCTGTGGGTGGCCCTGCTGCAGCAGCTCAGCAATGTCCGTTTACCCACAATCATCTAGAGGAAAGGGAAAACAACAATTCTGTAAATGTCTGCAGCCACAATTGTCTAGTGCAAGGGCAAAACAATCATTATGACTCTGCAATGTGTGAAACTGTAGTAAAAGTAACAATGAACAATCAAAGGAAGCAATTCTGAAAGTCTACCTGCACAACAGCCTAAGAGAAGCAACTGTGATTCAGTTGTGAAAGTAACAATGCATTTCCATTGTACAAAAACATTATTCAGGCTTACTCTTAGTAAGGATACACATACAGAAAAGTTCACATATCTTCCTTACCCCGTTCTGGCGACAGAGTAGCTCTAGCAGCTGCCACAGCAGCGCGGCCGACTCCTTATCCCTGAGCTCGGTACTGGCCAGCGAGGCCGCGGCCTTGTCCTGACAGAACCGGATCACATCGCTCTTGTGGGTCACGCCCCTGAAAACATAGTCAAAGAAAAATCAACAAGAAATCAGAGATTTCAGACCATGAGGAAGTATTGGGGGCAGATTTGGGTATTGTGAATTTATATCTATATCACCAATACATAACATATTGTAAATCTATTACCGGTAGTGCAAAAAGTGCAAAAATATACACCATACTGATAGACACATTTGCTGACATGTCTGCAATAATTATTGTAACACCAACACTCAGGATGACATACTTGATAAGTGGTCCAGGGAAAACTCTGAATTCTTCCACTTCAGTGTTGTTTACAAGAAGAGTCTGTGGAAGAAAACAACAGAATACAATCATGTATTAATACATAAACTTATTATTTTGTCTATGCCCAAAAACTGAGCACACCAAAGCCTAAACCTAGTCCTCTAAACCTAGGATTTTCTTCATTATGTTGTTCCAGTTAAGTTCAAGAAGCAACAAATTAATTGGTATGGCCTTAATTGGGTTTATCTCACTTAAGTTTCCTTGCACCTGAATTTCTAAGTTACATGAAGTGTAGATGCATCAGTGCACTTATTCCAAAGTATAAATTTCAGGCCCAGTGGGTATGTTTTGAACATTACGTCTTGTACAGAGAATTGTTCCTCACCTCGAGAGCGTGCACCTCCACCACAGCAGGCATGCCGTCGGCCGGGTTGTTGGGCAGCACCTTGATCATGTGACCCCCGGGGCCGAAGCGTGCCAGGACGTGGGGGATGTGGAACTTGGCAGGAGTTGTCCTAGCAGCAGGGGTCTGACCTGGGTGGAGGGGGGATGGAAGGCATATCAATCCTATATCTATTTTTTTAACGCACTGTTATGCCTCACCTTTGCACAGCTAACCGTTAACATTGTTAAAAGCTATATGTCTTGTTACACCTAACCTCTGCATATCTAACTGTAATAGTTGTTGAAAGCTATCTAGTTGACTTGTGACACCTAAACTTTGCACTTATAACTGTAAAGGCTATCTAGTGATGATGCCCCTACTGTACACAGAGGCAGCAAGTTTCACTCTACGATAGTTCTAGGAAAGAAAAGTTTTTGAACACCTCAGTCCTTGGTTGATAACTCTGATGCTTGAAGGCATAGCTATTTCTTGATTTGTTCTTTTCTAAGCTGGCCATTAAGGGGACATTCTTAATATAAGGAGATTGACGTCAATTCAAGTTAGTAGAAATGGATTACTGTATACATTCAATGTTAGTATGTTCCAAGCCGGTACCTTGCTGCCAGGAGTCCCTGTACCAGCTGTTGTCTCCGTACCCACCGTTGTGTCCATAGCCGCTCGTGTCTCCATGGCCGGAGTCTCTGTGGAAGTCTCGCGCAAACCTAAACAACATGGACATAGCAGCATGAAACTTCAGAATTGTGTTACAGGTAGCAAACCTTTTTAAGTACTGTCCTGATGCACAGTTACAATGGTTTTAAATTGTGCTTTTTTTTCAAGATGTTAAATACTAGTACATCTAGAAGTTAAATGATTAATGAATTAAGAAATGAAATGAATTAATTAAATGATGAAGGAATGAATGAGTGCTTGATGTCGCAGATTCGTTTTTACCTATCATCATAACAGATTTTTAAGTTCAGGTCTTATGGTCTTGGATTTTACTGTGATTACTTCAAAAGAATCCAGAAAATTCAGATTCTTGTAACTGATTTGTAATGAGTAATTTTTAAATTCCATTGTCTTTGAATTTCTTATCTTTAATTTTGATGTCATTGCAAGAATACTTTAAGGCTAATGATAGACATCCAAGGAAAAATCAAAAAGAATTCAGAAAATAAATGCAAGAAGAATTAAAAGCAAATGCTGTAAATTGACAAAACCAAAAAGAAAATGCCAGAAATTGAGAATTGAGAAAAAATAAAAAACTCTAGAAAACAAATGTGAGAACAATGCAAAGAAAGCCAAAAATGCCAGAAAACCAAAGATTGAGAAACTGAGAATTGAGAAAAACCCAAAAGAATGCAAGAAAACCAAATTCCAGAAATTGAGAAAAGCCAAAAAGAATATATCACGATCCACGCCACACACAGATTAGTACTGAAATGTTGGTACCTATCGTCATACTGCCCTCCCCAGCCCTGGGAGTGGTGACTGTGAGAGCTGTGACCGCTCGCGTTGCTGTGCACGCTACGGCGGTCGTCCTCGTAATTCTCGTCATCGTACGTGTTATCGTAGCGAGGGTCGTAAGCGTACAGATCGTACCCCTGTGACTGCTGTTGCTGCTGCTGTTGTTGCTGCATCTGCTGCTTGTAGTACTCGTAGTACCGGGGGTCGTAGCTGTTACCGTGACGACCGTAGTAGTAGTTGTACCACTCCTGGTACCGAGGGTCGTTCGCCCAGTAGTCTACAGAACAAAAAATTATTTAGTTTTACGTTGATGAAGGTTAAACATCCTGGTAAACAATACTCATACATGTAGGAAATTCAAACTCTACTACTGGATTAATCAGTGACACTGACAAAGAGTGGTAGATGTCAATCGAAACGTCCAGGACCAGAAGTTATCTTCGTAATCTATCCCAAGTAGTAGAGTTTAAATTTCCTATGAGTATTCTTTAGTTTTTATACACATTACTGTAGAGATGAGTTTAATTAACATATTTAACATTGCTTTAAACCATTTTCAAGAGCTCTCAAGGGAAGCAGCTTTTTTTAAATTTCTTCCTTGAGTTAACAATTGAAAACAATGGAAGGAGAGACAAGGACACGAGATATAAATCAGCTTTACAGGTTTTTACGTCACTTGAAAGAACACCACGGTGCTTTCTATACAGTATAACTTAAATGGTATCTTAATTTTTTACATACATTGACTTGTAACTGGTAATACATGCTTTATCAGTACTCTGATCTACATGTACTTTACTGTACCTTATGGAGCCCACATCATGGCTTTTCATGCTTTTGTAAGTTGTTGTTGTTTTTTTTTGGTTGTTTTCTACATCAGTGAACAGCTAGATTCTACCAATGAACACAGTGCAACTATGGTCTTCAGAAACAGAGTCAGAAGACTCAGGCTACACAGGCCAACTCATGTAACAAAACCCAACAGTGTCACACTCTGTATCACCTGTGTTGTCCACTGACTTGCTCCTCTGACTGCCACGTTCTTCAGTCACAAGTTGCACAAGCAGAAAAAGGAAAGAACAACAGATGGTTGGGACAAACACAAAGCTAGAAGCAGGACCAAAGACTGAGATAAAAGCTGATGAAGGTTGAGAAGCTCAAGAATACATGGCAAACACAATATTAGTATGTATAATAGTATGGCAAAAACTTGGTGATCTGATTAATTGTATTAAGTATGATAGCAATAAAAAGACAAAGACACGTTTAGATACATGATGATGACAATTTGAGAATTTGTTAGTGTGTATAAAGTAAATTACAAGGTCTGGCTTAAGACAGCATCTCGTGCAAGGAAAGTATACAAAACCGCATGCCTCCAGTGTAAAGAAACATGGAGTAGCCATAAAAGCAGGAAGGCTCATCTGCATCAATTTGGAATATTCCATCGATACTTTCGTTCAACAGAGTAGCAATATTCCTGTCCTTCTTACCTCTGCTGTATCTCGGGTCCCGTTGTCCTCTTGAGTCGTACTCTCTCCCGTAGTAGTCTCTTCTTCTTCTGTACTTCTCCTGATCATAGTACCCACTCCTGTCATAGTCAGCACTGTACTGTCTGTAGTAAGCTTCCCTGTCGTAGTCTTGTCTCGAGCGTGGTCTCTCTCCTTGCCTTGAGCTCGGGCGTTCTCTCTCTTGTCGGGAAGATGGTCTCTCCCTGTCCCTGGACTCCTGTCTGCCGTAGTAGCTGTCGTACGAACCCTGGCGGCCGTAGCGTGGGTCTTGTTCGTAAGACCTGTAACGGTAGATTCAAAATGTATTTATTGAAAAGGGAGTGCCACTGAATTGCATAAATTGCAGAGATATACATAAGGAGTGGTACTCATGCAATAGTTTTTGAAAACTGACTGTGAAAAAGTAATTATGCTACTTGAAACCTCGCTAGGTGTGGTCTCGTCTGACGCAGTTTTCAACATATATCCAGTTGCTTGAGTAATTATAACAATTTTCATAATGTAGTACTGTACTACATGTACAGTCATGTTTGCGTTACATTTGACGGACTTAGATAACGCAACGCTGTCGCAACGCAGCGATAACGCTGACGCAACGCAGCGGCAACGCTGACGCAACGCGATAGCGCAACTTGCGGTAATTGACCCCGGCCGAACGAATGCGTTACAGCGTTATTTAACCTGCTACCGAGTACGCCATCGCACTATTGACGCAACTATAATGAGCTGGATAGGGTTTCATGTTTGTTTGTCTACTTTGTCATTTAAATTTAAAAACAATACTGGGTGTTATGGCCTCCTTTCAGCGGTCATAGACATGCATGAGCGTTGGAATTGGATGGCAGGAATTAGTTTGAGCATGGATGTAAAAATGGTTTGAGGCATTTCCAATGAGGTTATTCATCAGCCTGTCTAAACATGTAACGCCCCAAAAATACGTTAGATATAGCAACAATAATTCCAACTACACTTTACCCCAACATGTCGCAAACAAAATATAGCAACTCCTCCTCCGCTACTTTTCAACACGGCAAGGTCAGACAATATTTGGTTTTGCCCCGGCGGCCCGGAATCTTACTTGTGCAGTCAAAAGCGTAATGAGCCGGCGCATGTTGTCGATGATTTTTTTAAACATAGAACGCATAATTCAGCAACCAAAATTGAATTGTCAAAAGCTTAGGATATATCCCGCCAGCGAAATGGATCTTGTAAAGGAGCTGTCTTGTTTACCGTCGGTAAGCTCTGGGGTACTTTGTCGGATCGCTACCAGTCTGTAGAGAGTGCGCGGAGAGGACTGTTTACCCTCCATGTAAATGGGGGGTATTGTTTTTACTCCGTTTCATGTTTGGTCTGATATCTGAAGATCGGTGAGAAGGAACTGTACGATATTTGGCAGATTGATGGATGGGGCCTTGGAGATTGTTTAGGTTGACTTTGAGCCCCTGGTGATTGACCTTGGTACTGCAGTTTAATTTTTTTATTCTACTGTTGTCGCGTTATGGGCTGTTTGTGCGATATTAAGGTAGCATGTTGTTGTTATTACCATGGTTCAGTGGTTTAAATTTGGGTCCCCTAGCTGTTTGCGTTTGATATTTACAAAATGTTTAACGTTGGACTTTTTGTGTTGAATGTTTGGAAAATCTGGAGGATGGTTTGGTATGATATTTGGTATGTGGGTAGTTGTTGAGTCTCTTTGTGTTTTGGAGTGCATTAGCAGGTTGTCGTGTATTTGTATTGCTTAATTTAAAAGGATTTTCACATTTTCACCCCTATTTCATAATAGGATGGTCTGTTTGACCCCAAAGCTGAGACAGAGTGTTTTTGTTTATACCCCCAGCTGGCAGGTCAGGCCCAGGCATCAAATCTATTTTTACCCTAGACAGTCTGCAGAAAATATCGTCTGGTTGTGTTTGGGTCATTGAATGGGGTTTGAATTTGTTTATGTGTGCTTGAGAGGCCATTGACCTCACCTCAATATGGTTGGTTGGTTGGTTGTCTGTTAGTGCTGTTAATGATAGTTTATTGATCCAAAGTAGCGTCTGTGATGTACATGTTTAGTCAGTTGTTCAAATCTGTGTCTCAGATGGTGGGTAATTTGAAGGTGAAATTTTGTGTATCATTGAAATTCCTTTCTCATGGCTAGAGTGTGCTCTCTAGTGAGGCTGTTGATGTCAGGACTGAGGTCATAAATCTTGTTTGTCTGGTCTGCAGGTCATTTGCCTGCCTGGTCATTGACCTACATGTACAGGCAAATGACCTGCAGGCCATCAAAGTAAACAAACCATGGTAACAAGACACTAAACGCTTGCACATGACAGCTTGGCAACCCCTTCCAATACAAAGTGCCACCACAAATCATTCTGCTGATAAAAACAAAGTTTGACTCATAATATCGCTATTGAAATACACCAAAAGATTAAAAAATAACAAGCTATTTCATGGAGGGATGATGTCTACGACTTCTCCTTGTTGTGTATGTATTCGGCTGACGAAATGATCTTCGTTTCACATTCGTTTCTTTTCGGTTCTTGTCGTCAGCGAATGAGTGTGTTTGGTATGCTCACGAGATTTGCCGATCTTCACCAGTAATTTTCTAAGGGGAGGAAAGATCACGATTACAGTAATGGAAAACATCACATGATTGACTGCAGTCCCTTGCACTTGGCACAAAAACAACAACTTGTTGGGAAACAAAAAATAGAATAAAATTTTTGATCGTAGTAATTTTTTTAAATTTTGAATTCGTGTATGTAACCATGGAGTTAGAAGGAACCTCCCTGGTGTAACACAGGAGATCTTTTCTCCTTAGTGTCAGACAGCTTGGCGCGACAGACCTGTCAACATTGATTGATGACGCCCGCCCGACACAACTTAGATCAAAGGCGGCGGCGGCGGCCAGTTTGAATGTAGCAAACTCGTTTCACCAGGAATTCTCACGCTGGTGGATTCACAACAACGCTGATAAAGAATCCAGAGCTGTATGAATCTGACCAGATCGTCTGTATTTCTGCCGAGATTTCACGCTGTACACGCTTTTTCAATGCATTCCTTTCTTTTGACAAAATATTGACGGCGCGGAGTTGCAGCGGCTCTACGTATATATTTATAAGATGACGGGTAACGTCATATGGCTCCTTGATCAGTTTCAAAGACATTTTTCTACACGTGACTTTTATTCGTTGAATGGGCCATGGAGGTGAATGGGCTAAGCATTTCTGGGATAAGCTCGCAAAATGTGTATTGTAAACGAAACAGATAATAGGCTATTCAGCCAACAATGAACAAAAGGTGTGAAATAAACACTAATCCATTCGCCCATCCTTGCCACTACGATATTGTTAATTAACTATTTTGCAAATGAAAGCGCAAAATTTCACGATCCAATCTCTAAATAACCCAACAGTTCAGTCAATAAACGAAATGGCGAAGCTGTATCAGTCCCGCCCCTGACAAAATACTTCTTAGTTTTTTTTTGCAATATTTAAATGTTCTTTTGATGTGTTTTCAGGTTCATCCTCAGGTCTTTGATTGAGTTACGAGACTGTGCTGCGTGAAACATGTGCGGACTTTGCAGGATCAACAGGATTACATTCAAGTTTTTTTCTTTAGTTTTGACGTTCGGTTATTGACTAGAAAGTTACGTTTGGTTTTGACGTTGAACTTCGTTTGTTGACTAGAAAGTTCTTTTTCTTTGTTTTTGACGTTTTTTCTTTCGTGTTGACGTTAAGTCGTTGACTGCGTTTTTTTATCGTTTGAAGTAGATTGAAGTTCCCCAGTTTAGACGTTCGTTTGTTGACGTCTGTTGACTCAGTTTGATATGTTATTATTACGTTTTGGTCTTCTCAATTCCATTGAAGTTTTTGCTAACCACACTTTACTAACTGATTTCGCACAACTAATAACTCATATCATTAAAATACTAATATGTATCAGTTCATGGATATTTTAGGATACGTACACAGGTAATGTGATTAACGAGTAAGTGCTATTATATTTTATCAAAGAAAACGAGGGAATTGTTAGGAAATCTTCTTGTGGGAAGTGATCTTGTCTATTTTATTACCGGAAGCAAACGGAAGAAATGTTGCGAATGAATGTAACATCTGAAAAATGCCGCACCGAACCCTTTCGGCCGAGATGTAATATAACAACGGATGGTTCCGTGTGCCTAACTCAAAATAGATACATCACAAAAGTTTTTAAAGATTTGCAACGGGACGAAAAGATATTAAGGAATATAGTAACTGTTTACTCACCTTAGACAATACCAAAAGGACGATCACGAAGTAAACGATGGTCTAACTACATTATACCGGTAGTGTGACTTTGTCAGCTGGAAGGTTGTCCAACTTGGCAAAAGATGTCAGTTCAAGACATATGGCACACGTTTGTCTGACGTATAATCTTGTATTATATTTTCAGCTAAGGGTGAGGTGTATGGTGTTTGATGTCCAAACAAAAAATATTGACACATGAACATGTGAAGAAAACGCCGTTAAACAGTAGTTTGTTGGGAAATTAATAGTTCCGTGGTGTTTTCTAAAGCCGACACACTTTAGATTGTTGGAAAAGCTTTCTGTAATATGTCAGAGTGTATAACATTACAGACAGCGGGTAAGTTGTAGAACGTTTAAAAATAACGTCCAATCAGAAATAATGATAACGCAGATTTGATACAATGCATTGGGAGCGTCTATTGAATTGTCTTTCATCGGAAAATCGAGAGTTCCGTATCATTCTTGAAAACCGAGAACACGACAGATCCCTATAAATGCATATTGTTATACAAGAAATATAACATCCTAGTAATGTATATAACTAAAACAAAGAGTATTTTGTGGAGGATTTAAAAAAATGACGTCTACATGAAAAGATTGGCAGCGCAGTTGAATTGACGTCCTGATAGATTTGTATTCCAAATGGTCTCGTATTGGAAAATTTATGGTTCCGTGTTGCTTACTAAAGTTTACAACATTGTAGGGGGATATAAAACTTGTTGTAACATCACTAGATAAACAGAATTTTAGTGTTATATTTCACGCTTAGGGTGAGTTGCAAAGCGTTTAAAATTTCCGTCCAAACTGAAGCATTGGCAGCGCGGGTTTACTAGAACACGTAAGGAAACGTTCGTCTTCAATAGACATTTCAATAGTTCCGTGTTGTTTTATTAAACCGAGACCATTTTAGGACTTTTCAAGAAGCCTTCTTTAATATGGCAATAATAGTACTCTAGTAAATCGTTTTAAAACGGATGGTGTGGAGGATTTTAAAAAATACTAGA